TTTTGGTTAATTACTCGTAGACTTTTTAATTGTTTTAGTAAGTACTGAATAAATAAGTCGGACACATCACAAATCAAGGACGTGTAGACATATTTTACCAAAAGAAAAAAAAAACGTTTAGACAAAAATGGTCATTTGTGAGCAAATGAGAAAATTACTATCAGTTTAATTCTCCAAAGCACCCTCCACCACATTGGGTGACTGATTAAGACTTGATGTTGGACGAAATTAATCAGACTTTCCATCAATCCGGTGGTTCTGAAAAAGCTTTTGTCAACGCCTAGAGAGCACAACTTGATGGTGATGATCATAACAATGCATAAAAGAGGATTTGATGGACGGTTCTGAGGACATGGAGGTGATGTTCCGATTGGATATGCCATTGACACTGTCTCTGATTTGATTCAATTGACTGGAAGCTATCATGACATTCATGACCTTTTTTTGGATCAAATGAGGTCAATCACGCTCCATGTTTAAGGGCAGTCTCTCCATGGTTCTTGATTAAGCCCACATTGTCTCTGAAAACCCTTATTTTTATATACACTCAATTTACTCTCACGCATTTTTTATAGACACCCAATATAGTTTAGTAATCTTTCAGGAACACCCTTCCTTTTTCTTATTATGAATCTCTCTCTCTCTCTCTCTCTCTCTCTCTCTCTCTCTCTCTCTCCAGGTCAACACATCATTCTTCCTTTTCACCATTAAAATCCATGGATGTTCAAGCCTGGCATCTCGATCTCTTTTCTTCCAAATTAATATAGCAGAAGTACTTTTCACGACCTCTCATCTTTTTCTCCTTATGTAATCATTTGGGTCTAAATATTCATTTGTCGGAGAAAAAATTGATGGATTTGGTGTATTTGTTCTTATTTTTGTTTCCTGGGAAATGATGAACCCCGATGCAGGAGAACGGGAATCCGTACAATACCCAAATTGGTTACTGTGTGCCGTTATGATATAGGACAATATATTAAACAATTAGGACGAATAAAGCTGAATAAAATAAAATGTTTCAAATTCTGAAAAAGAAAGCAACAAATAATATTGTGGTGGTAGAATTGAGGTATAATATATCGATTTTGAAGAGAATCATGAGCAGAACAAGACTCGTGGAAAACCATGGCCTTGTTGTGTTTAAGGTCATCTTAGGTCATTTAGACTTCCAAAATTGCATTTTAAATTCTATAATTAAAATCGAACTTTTTGTTTCATTTGTCGTTCGATTAATGTCGTTTTGCTTTCATTCAATTTCCTAAGGCCTTTGAGTTACTACAAGTGTTGTAATCAGGTTATTTAAGCCATTGGATGGCTCCTATTGTAATCATCTTTCAATCAATTCAATCTTTAATCAAATACAACCTCTGAGATTATTCTCAAAACTGGTGAATTCCATGCTATTGGTTCTTCAAGGAATTACGTTTGTAATCCTTTAAGTTTCGTGATGTGTCATGTTATCCACCGTAGGAGTGGTAGTGGAGGCTTTGTAGTTGACATACAACTCCTTAATCGCTAATTCGATAATGTCACCAAGTCCTCCGCCATGACATCCAACAGCGGCCTCACATACAATGTTGATCCATCCGTTTTGTGAAGCAGGTTGCTTGTATTGCAAGAAACAAGCACTAGGGGAGATTCTAGGCGTACAATCTGAAAGAGCTCTTCTTTCTCCTTAATTATGCCAAGTGATAATGAATTCCCTTTTTATTTCTAGTCATTAGATTGAATTAATCAATGGAAAAACAAGGTAAATAACAAAAACTTCATCTTTCCTTCTTTCAATTGTTATAGGTTGCCTCATTCTCATCTGTAATGACCCGTCCCCAATTATGACGGTTTTTATAATTTTAATGTGTGAAAGTACGAAAAATGCCCTTCGAGGCGAAAAATGTTGACTTTCGTTGACTGCTTTGTCGTGTCACATAAGACCCATTTTTTGGCGTATCCTCGTAGCACTCGTCGCTACGAATGTGTGGGTGTAAGCGGCATTGGATTTGGAGCTACGATGAACGTTTTACAGAACTATGAAGTCGAGGGGCAAAATAGTCAAATCACTATTCTAGATATTTCTATTTCTCTAATAATTTCTGTCACGTGGGGCTTACACCCCACTTCTCTTTCTGCCACGTGTCCTCCCCCAATTCCCTCTCTAGAACTCTCTCTCTCTCTCTAATTTTCCCTCATTTCTCTCCATCCTTTCCCCGAGAAGCCTTGTCCCTTTTGCCATTCTCTCTGAGCACACTACCACCTACCTTCGCAACTCTGACGAACAACACCACCTTCTTTTTTTTCCGTGCCTTTCTTCCCCAATCTCTTGAACCTTCAGTTCCATTTCATCTCACCTATATCTCTCATTCTCCGAGCTCATCCACACGCATTGAGACCATCACCACCCGCCATCTCCTCCGACGAGCTCCACCGACACCATCGTCACAACCTCACCATCTCTGTGAGTTCTACAAACCTAGAGACGAAGGAAAACGCTTCCAAAACTCCTCCTTCATCTCACTGTGCAGCGGCATCGTGACCACTAGCATCTCTAGCGAATCTCACCGTTCACAGCGTAGGTAAGCCTCGGGGCATTCTAAACTTCTTCCTTTTATCCTCATGATGGTTAATGGTTGCGTTTATATAATTTTGGATGACAAGATTGCAAAGAGACATCGAGGTGACTTCTTCCCAGTTTCCGGCGAGGGACCATGAGGTTGTAGACGTCTTTTGGCCAACTTTCAGCCACGCCCGTAAGTCAAAGTGGTATGACTCGAATCTCCATCCTCGTAGCTTTATTTTGGTGCTTAAATGGTGAGATTTGGAAGTGAATCAAAGCCAAACGGATTCGGGAAATTTCCCGGCCAAAATCCGACCTTCTTCTTTGTTGGGTCCAATGACCAGTGAGTTTAATTGGGTCCAAACCTTTGGGCCTTATAACCAGACCCAATCCAAAACTAAGCCCAAATCTATTAACCTATTACTCAGCCCATTATCCCAGACTAAGCTCAATCTGGAATCTGAATGGGCTCAACCCACTAACCCCAATCTAGACTCAACCATTAACTTTCTGGTCAACGTTGATTGTTGACCGACTTTGGGTTGATTTTTCGAGTTTTGGTTGGGACCCCTCCTAGGCTAATTTTGACATCTTTATTCCAAATCTACTGTATGTTTTTCCAAATTCGACTGTTTTAATAGAGTTTTACTAAATGGGCTCTATATGTGTTTAGGTGCATCAATGGGAAGTGACACCATTCTCGCTTGTTCAAGCGGCTTTTAGGCTATGGAATACTGTGAGTGGACCCCTTCTTAACTTACATATTTTTATAAAATATTAGCCTAGCATGCATTTCATATTTCATGATTGAGCATGTTTTATAGTATGTCTTACGGAGAATTTATGATTTCTTTAAATTACCTTTACGAAATATTTATGATTTATCAAATTTACGTTTTACTAAAGGTTATGAAATATTGGAATTTCGTATATGAATTTCTATGGATTTCGAATATGATTTATTTTGTGGGTTTACGAATATGAGATTCCATGGATTTATGGATATGAATTACTTGGATGTACGAGACGAGGTTTGAGCTTTTGAGCTCTAGAGATTTGATATGAGATTTTAGGTATGTTTTCGGTGCTTATCTAGCGAGTTATCATACAACACATCCACACAACATGGGTATAGATGTCTATGGCCATAGGACATATTTAATGAGGAGTGAGATGAGATATTATGATTACCCCAGCTTCATTGCCGAAAGTAATGTCAGATAGCTTCACTAGCCACGGCTAGTGTCTGTGTGTGATGTTATATGTTTCTTCTCCAGCGTAACCCGGAGTCGTACAGCTTCACGTTCGGGTGATGGGGCTTACCATGTTTCTTCACTAATGTAACCTAGTGTCGTACAACTTCACCTTTGGTGATGGATAGGTACTACCTTCGGGCGACTATGATACCCCTAGAGAGTACAGTGTTGACGAGATTTACGAATTTTCCTTTGGGCGGTTTTACTACCATCTCCGAGCATTGTTTTACGCATACATGTTTTACAAATGTTTTTCAGTGCATGCTAGAGTTTTCAGAAAACTTACTATATGTAGTATTATATGTGTTTTCACAACAGGGGGTTAATATGTTCATAAATAGAATGGTTTTCGTATTATTGGTATTCTTATAAACTTTGGTCCACTCACCTTTTCTGTTTTGCACCCCCTCAGGAGTTAGAATTGAGGCACATGATCCCAACATCAGGCACTTCCAGTTAGGCATCTTTGAGCCTTCTCTGTGTAGGTCCCATTCCTCGGTTTGTACCTTTCCATATTAATTCTTTCGCATTATTCTTGTTTAGTTGTATGCTCTGAACACGATTCTGTTTTGATTTAATTCGTTCTAATTATGTATTTTTAGTTATATGAGTGTTTAAAGTGGCTTCGTCACCCTTGGGTGTTGGCCAACACATGCCTACCTTGATATTTGGGGATATCGAGGTTGGGACGTGTCATCATCACTCTCTATTCGGGGAACTTCTAGATTCTAAAACTGGTGCCTAACCACGATTTTTGGTATTTTAGGCAAAACTCATTATCTCTGCCCTTTTTTTTTCAATTTTGTTTTTAATTTGGTTGTTTGATCATTTTTTTTCAATGTGGGTCTTGAATCTTGATCAATTTTGTTTGATTAATTTCGGTATGGACTAAGCTTTAATTAAAAAGATGAAAGATCAACAATTGAACGTTCATGAGCCGACCAACCTCTTTGAATGCAAAAGATACAGTTCAGTTCTTCATTCATCACCAGGTACAAATTTTGCTACTCTTTTATTGTGCATGTTGACAACTTACAATTGAAAACACAGTTGCTACTAATAATGTTAGATTCGACCTTGCTGTCTTTACAGAAATTGGAAATGGGAATTGATTTGAAGTGCAACGTCTGCATTACTTTGGTGTATTGGATAATGAATGCGGTTTTACATTGAAATATATGTTTATCCTAGGGTTATTGTGCACTTTGAAATGTTGTTGATGGTGTCACAAATTTTTCTGTAGAAGATGGGGTGATTGTGAGGCTATGGGGCGTTCCTGAAGACTCAGTTTGACCTCTTTCAGAAGTGATAGTGTCACTATCACTGACTAATGCAATAGAGGACACCACCGGCATCTTTGATGGGAGAATGGGCAATGGAACTTCGAAGTTAAGCACTTGAATCGCTTGTTGAATTGAAGGTCTGAATATATATTGCGGGTGAGCACACCATAGCCCAACAATCATCAAGCACTCCATTTGTTTCTCGTCAAAATGACCATAGAGTTTTGGATCGGCTGCTTGAATAACATTCCCTTCTTCGTAGAGCCCCCAAACCCACTTCACCAGTTCGATTTGGCTACTTTCTAATTTGAAATCGATGGGTTTTCTCCCACAAGCTATTTCCAAAGAAACAACTCCAAAGCTGTAGACATCTGATTCCTTGGTGGACCTTCCTGTGGTAACATATTCTAGAGCCATGTAGCCTCGGGTTCCTGCCACAATTGTTGTTAGTGACTGTTCTCCATGGTCTACAAGTCGAGCTAACCCAAAATCCCCAAGTTTCACGTTGAAGTTTGTATCCAGCATAACATTGCTCGACTTGATATCCCTGTGAAGCACACATTGTTCCCATTCTTCATGTAGATACAATAACGCAGAGGCCAACCCTTTGGCAATGTTGTATCTCACCTGCCAACTTAACAAGCTATTTTCTTTAAAAAGATGGGAGTCTAAACTTCTGTTTGGCAGGAACTCATAAACGAGTAGTAGTTCTCTATTTTCATGGCACCACCCAATGAGTTGCACCAAATTCCGATGCCTAAGTCTGCTAAAAATTATATTTGTTATTGATACGTGAATGTGGAAAAATGGAAGAGAATGCAAATGGAAGAGAATGCTTATGGAAGAGAATGCTTATTTTTTCATTATCTTTCTCTACAAGATTACAAGGATATATATACATGATACAAATGTGTAGGTAGGACAAGGTAGGACGGCTGTAGAGGACAAGGTAGCCGTCCTAGTGTGTAGGTAGGACAAGGTAGGACGGCTGTAGGACGGCTTGACGGCTGTAGGACGGCTAGTGTGTAGGTAGGACAAGGTAGGACGGCTGTAGGACGGCTTGACGGCTGTAGGACGGCTTATTCTTCCAATAATAATATTATATACTACACAAGGACTCCAACCATATTCCTTATTTGTCTAACACTCCCTCTCAAGTTGGAGAGTGGATGTCAAGAACTCCCAACTTGCGTAACATACCCGAAAACTTTTCTTTCCCAAGAGGTTTGGTAAACAAGTCTGCCAACTGTTGTGCCGTACCCACATGCTTGGTCTCTATTGTGCCATCTACAATCTTATCTCGTATAAAGTGACAATCCATCTCAATGTGACGAGTTCGTTCATGAAAAACAGGATTGGCAGCTATATGTAACGCTGCTTGATTATCACAAAATAAAATGGAAGGACCATCCAAAGGAATGTTCAAATCCTTCAACAAAAAACGAAGCCAAACTATCTCGCAACAAGCACCTGCCATGGCCCTATATTCCGCCTCTGCTGAAGAGAGTGAAACGGTTTTCTGTCGTTTCGTCCGCCCAGAAATCAAAGAACTGCCCAAGAATACACAATACCCAGTAGTCGAACGGCGAGTGATAGGGCAACCTGCCCAATCAGAATCACAAAACGCAGTTAACTTGGTCTGGTTGTCAGAACGAAATAATAAACCTTGACCTGGAGTAGCCTTCAAATAACGAACAATACGAAGCGCATCATCCATATGAGATATCCTTGGCTCGTGCATAAAACGGCTTAGAACATGCACAGAATAGGTGATATCCGGCCGAGTGATAGTGAGATATATTAACCGACCTACTAATCGTCGATACTTTTCAGGATCCTTGAGAAGTTCTCCTTTATCAGATAATTTTGTGTCATCCATAGGAAAAGCAATGGGTCGTGCTCCCAAAAAACCATAGTCCTTGAGAATCTCTAATGCATACTTGCGTTGAGAAATATAAATCCCTTGTTTGGAACGAGAAACCTCAATACCCAAAAAATATTTTAAATCACCAAGGTCTTTTATCCGAAAATGATCACGGAGAAAAGACTTCAGAGAATTAATGGCACTAGCATCATTGCCTGTAATCACAATATCATCCACATAAATGAGCAAAGCTGTGAAAGAAATACCAGACTTTTTAGTGAACAATGAATAGTCAGCTTTGGATTGTTGAAAATCGGCAGAAATGATGGCACTAGTGAATTTGGCAAACCATTGGCGAGAAGCCTGCTTAAGACCATAAAGTGACTTGTGAAGGCGACACACAAGATTCTCCCCCTGTCGCCGAAGACCAGGAGGAGGAGACATATAGATTTCTTCATGTAAGTCACCATGTAAGAAAGCATTATTAACATCAAGCTGATGAAGAGACCAAGACTGACTAGCAGCAAGAGCAAGAAGACAACGCACCGTAATCATCTTAGCAGTAGGAGAAAAAGTGTCATGATAATCAATACCTTCAGCCTGAGTGAAGCCTTTAGCAACCAAACGAGCTTTGTAGCGGTCAATAGAGCCGTCGGAATTGTGCTTGAGTTTGTACACCCACTTACAACCAATGGGAATTTTGCCAGGGGGCAAGGAAGTTAAAGTCCAAGTACCATTAGCATGTAAAGCTTGAAGCTCCTCAGTCATAGCACGTTGCCAATTGGGGTCAGTGGCAGCCTCGGCAAAGGAGGAAGGCTCCACAGTCCGACTGACAGAGTTAATGTAAGAAAAATGCCTGGGAGAGTAACGGTGATAAGAGAGAAAATTACAAAGTGGATATCGCGTACCTTGTGTAGAACCGGGTTGCGAAGTCGAAGATGGGTGGGATGGCAGAATCACCTGCGAGCAAACGTAGTCTTTTAAATAGGATGGAGGTTTATGGGCACGGGAAGAGGTGCGGGGAAGGGGAGGATTGGTAGGTAGTGGGGGGGGTAGGGATGTCCGTGGGTAAAAGGGTGAAAGGTAAGGAAGTAGCGGGGGGGGGGGGGGGGAAGGAGGGGATGCCGAGAGGGCAGGGGCATGGGGAGGAACGGGTAATGGGGCAGCAAGGGAATCTGTGGGAGGCGTGGAAAGGGAGGAAGGTGGAGGAGGGTGAGGCGTCGGGGCAGGAAAGGGTGGGTTATATGTAAAGTCCAGAGGGGGTGGGATGGGTAAGGTAGGCGAAGAGGATGGGATATGAGGGTGAGAAACGGCATAAGGGAAAGTACTTTCGTGAAAGATGACGTCTCGACTAGTGAAAATGCGGTGATTGTCGAGATCGTAAAGGGTATAGGTCTTTTGTCCATGAGGATAACCGAGAAAAATGCAACGATGAGCCCGAGGGGAAAATTTGGTGGTGGGAGTGACAGAGGTGGCATATGCCAGACAACCAAAGACGCGGAAGTGGTCATAAGATGGGGTTTTCGAAAAGAGAACCTCAAATGGGGATTTATGATGGAGAAGACGGGTAGGGAGACGATTGATGAGATAAGTAGCGGTAAGAACACATTCCCCCCAAAACTTGATAGGAAGATGGGATTGAAAACGAAGGGCGCGAGCGGTTTCAAGAAGATGACGATGTTTTCTTTCAACAACGCCATTTTGTTGGGGGGTATAAACACCCCATGATCAGAGAAAAAACTACGAAGAGATAAAAATTCACCACCATTGTCAGTACGAATGCATTGGATGGTAGTGCGGAATTGGGTAGTGACATAAGCAAAAAAATCCTTAATTAATTGTTGAGTGTCGGATTTATGTTTCATGAGGAAGACCCATGTAAAGCGAGAAAAATCATCCACAATGGTTAAGAAATAATTAGCACCAGAAAGAGAAGATTGACGATTCGGGCCCCAAATATCACAATGAATTAAAGCAAAAGGGAAAGTTGATGAAATTGAACTCAAAGGAAAAGGTTGACGAGTTTGTTTTGCCAACGGACAAACATCACAAATATGACTAGAATCAAAAGTGCAATTAAGAGAGCTAGATGCTAAAGCTTGCAAACGAGTGGAGGAGGGGTGACCAAGACGCCTATGCCAGAGGGAGGAGGGGATGGTAATGATGTTGCAGAGAGGTTGACGGGTGGGGAGAGAAGAGGTAAGGGCCACAAGGTAATACAGATCGCCACGTCGCTTACCCACACCAATCATCGCCTTCGAAACCAAGTCCTGCAAAATACACCAAGAAGGAAAGAAGGTTATGGAACACGATAATCCATCTGTAAGTTTACCAACCGATAAAAGGTCCACTCGGAAATTAGGGACACATAAAACATCCTTCAAAGTAACTGAGGAATTTAAAAGAAGAGTGCCGGTAAAAGTAATGGGAGCGGAAGCACCACTAGGCAAAGAAACAGGCGGCAAATTTGAAGGAGAACGATTAACCAAACCTGAAGCGGAAGAAGTAATATGATCCGTAGCACCACTGTCAAGAATCCATTGACCATGACGAGAGGTGACAGGTAACAAACCTTGGGCAAAATCAGTAGTGAGCACGGCATTGGCCTGAGGAGGGGTGGTGGTGTCACGTAGAGCAGCTAGAACACGGGAGTGCTGCTCGGCAGAGAGGTCAGGCATGGCAAGCTGCAAGTCATGCAAAGTGGGCTGGGTCCCGTGCACTTGGTGGGTCGCTGGAGTAGAAGAGGAGGCGGGGGCCTGGGTGCCTTGCACGTGATGGGCCTGGGTGAAATTATGGGGCCGGGAAGCAGAAAACCGTGGCTGCTGGGGAGGACTGGAAGGTGCATGGCTGCGGGAAGAACTGGAAGCAGTGGCACGGCGCGGTGGTCGCCACGGTTGGCCATGGAGGGGATGGCCAACGGGATAGCCATGAAGTTTATGGCAGGTGTCTCGGGTATGATAATCAAAATTGCAGTAGGTGCAGTGGAGAGGAGGACGAGCAGAGGAGGGACGGGACGGGCCACGAACAGCCATGGGAACGGCAGAGAAAGCTGCCGAAAAAAAAATTAGGCCTAGGGTTATAAACCTGCTCTGTATACCATGTAGAAAAAGGTATGTAGGCTAAAAATTATATTTGTTATTGATACATGAATGTGGAAAAATGGAAGAGAATGCAAATGGAAGAGAATGCTTATGGAAGAGAATGCTTATTTTTTCATTATCTTTCTCTACAAGATTACAAGGATATATATACATGATACAAATGTGTAGGTAGGACAAGGTAGCCGTCCTAGTGTGTAGGTAGGACAAGGTAGGACGGCTGTAGAGGACAAGGTAGCCGTCCTAGTGTGTAGGTAGGACAAGGTAGGACGGCTGTAGGACGGCTGGTGTGTAGGTAGGACAAGGTAGGACGGCTGTAGGACGGCTTATTCTTCCAATAATAATATTATATACAATTACACAAGGACTCCAACCATATTCCTTATTTGTCTAACAAGTAGTAGTTCTCTATTTTCATTGCACCACCCAATGAGTTGCACCAAATTCCGATGCCTAAGTCTGCTAATGATCCGCACTTCTGATGCGTACTCCTTCATCCCTTGTTTAGATCCGCTGGATATCCTCTTAACAGCAACTTGTAAGTTTAAGTCTTTTATGAAGCCTCTGTAAACCCCTCCAAATCCTCCCTCTCCCAGCTTCTTTCCCTCCTCAAAATTACTGGTCGCTTGAGCCAACTCGTGGTAAGAAAACTTCCTCGGGCCGGTTACATTTTCCAGTTCTTTATCAATCAGTTTTTTTACAAAAGGGATTCTCATCACGTCCGTCAACTGCTTTGCTTTTCTTCCGATACATGAACCAAACCAAACCCAACCCAGTAAACAAGATTAGAGACCCAGCAATACCCAACCCGAGCAGGAGTCCCATTTTGGATTTTCCCGGCCCGGGTTTAACACCGGATGGTGCAATAGGTTCTGGTTTGTTGTGCGTAGGATCGTCGTCAAACAGAGCAGCTGAAGTGAAATTCCATGAAACGATCTTATGAACAGCAATATCTTGACCGGTTGCAGCAGAGAACCCAACAATTACCAAATCTGGCAAGTATTGTCTCAAATCAATTATGTAAGAAAGATATTTGAGCACCTTCACTTCAGTACCATTTGTACCATTTTGAAAACTCGTGAATGCAACACTCAGATTTTTTGAGCTGGAGTTATAACTAATCCAAGCATCGTTTTGTCTTCCTTCATTAATATCACCATTCCAGGGAGTGGTAATGTTAGACTTGAGAGAGTTGATGTCAATGCCCACATGATCACCGACCGGATCCCTGATTACTGGCTGCTCATTCCTGTAGATATCAAACTCAACAGCCACAAAAGGATACAGCGTCCTTGTGGTGTCTCCTGGTTGTTCCTCGACGGGCAGGCCAAGATGACCACCACCACCTGCTGGAATGTTGAGTAAGGAACCACTTGGAGCAATGAAAAATACCATCCCGTCGGCATGACCTGAATCTATCATGAATGTGAACTGTGTGCTAAAATCAGCGATTTTTCCTGTAAAGGTTTCCCAGAGGAGGAAGGGTTGACGGTAGGTGGCTCGGGCGACATTTTTATTTTGTCTGGCGCTTCTGGTGAGTTTGATGAGTTGCTCATCTATGTAAGCTGCTCCCTCGAGAAATATACCAGTGGTTCCAATGGTGAAGCTGTCGTAATTGAAGGTCAAGGGAGATGCGGAAGGGAAAAACAGAAGGAAGAGGAGGAGGAGGGGTAGAAGCTTTGCGGAAGGGATAACCATAGTATCGTACTTTATGTAGAGACATTTTGCACATTACTTGTCAACTAATAAGTAGAGCGATCATCTTTTCTTGTAAACCAAGAAACGAGTGTTTTTCCAGCACAGTCATTGTTTTCGCCGAACTCAAGTCGAAAATATCCTTGGACTAGCTGATCAACGGTTCTGTTTCATTCCAAAACTACAAAAATAATGAACTTTGTTGTATTTTATTTTGCATTGTTTACACTTTACAAGTAGACTTTTTTGGATTCACTGTCTTGTTGAAACTACAATAGTATCTAAATTCAAGAGTGTATAATATATTTATCTACATGTGTTTTGGTTTGTTTGATGTGAAAACTGAAGGAACGAATGGACGGCAGCCGAACACTGAAGGAACGAATGGACGGCAGCTGATTTTTTGTTTATGTTTTGTTGTCCGAATGCATTGACGTTGAAAAGATATGACGTCGTCGTTTAAACTTGGTGGTCATATTTGAGTATTGGGTTTTTCTTTTGACGCTCTTTCTCTGTGCATTTTGGCATGTACGTTTCTGAATGCCCTGGTCGAAAGAGCCACTCTTTCACTTACTGCTTTCTGAGTTCAAACCCTCTTGCAATCTCTCGTTATAAATTTATGAGTATAACATATAATTACGACATGATGGTAAGTTCATTATCATCAAAGTAACAACTATATATGTCGTCTAACATATTTACTTAAAGATGCTCACTATAAAATACGTATTACACACAAATGTATATATTTGAATAACAGAGCGAGTTTAAATTTATCTTGTATACAAAAGTGAGGCTGATGGAGAAGAATTGGATGCAGAAGATGAGGTGAATTGTGAGGAGTTGGTGTTGTAACCATGACCCGAAGACTCAGTCTGACGTCTTTCCAAATCAGTATTGTAACTCGACGAGATTGAAAATGATACCGGAAGAGATACGTAGCTGGCCACCGGCATCTTTGATGGGAGAGTGGGCAACGGAACTTCGAAGTTAAGTACTTGAATGGTTTGTAGTATCGAAGGCCTCATCATGTAATCCGGATGAGCACAGCACAGCCCAACAATCAACAAACACTCCATCTGTTTCGCATCAAACTCTCCACACAATATAGGGTCAGCTGCTTCAATGATTTTCCCTTCTCCATAAAGCTCCCAAACCCACTCCACCATGTTAATTTGAGTCCTTCCAAACTTTGGATCAATGGGTTTTCTCCCGCATGCTATCTCCAAAGCTACAACTCCGAAGCTGTAGACATCTGTTTCCTTGCTTGCCTTTCCTGTGGTAACGCATTCCGGAGCCATGTATCCCATGGTTCCAGCCAGAACCGTGGTTTGCGATTGTTTTCCATGATCCACAAGTCGAGCTAATCCGAAATCCCCAAGTTTGGCGTTGAAATTCGAATCCAGCATGATATTGCTCGATTTAATATCCCTGTGCAGCACACATTGCTCCCATTCTTCGTGTAGATAGAACAACCCGGATGCTAAGCCTTGAGCAATTCTGTATCTTGCCTCCCAATGTAACACCGTTTTCGGTTTGAACAAATGGGAATCTAAGCTTCCGTTGGACATGAACTCGTAAACAAGCAGGAGCTCTCCTTTTTCATGGCACCAACCGATTAGTTGCACCAGATTCCGATGCCTAAGTCGACTGATGATCCTTACTTCTGCCGCGTACTCCTTCATCCCCTGTCTAGACCGACTTGACACCCTCTTAACAGCAACATACGAGTCCAAGTCCTTTATGAACCCTCTATAAACCCCACCAAATCCTCCTTCTCCAAGCTTTTCTCCCTCATCGAAATTACCCGTGGATTGAGCCAATGTCTTGTACGAAAACTTCTTCGGGCCCGTCCCCTTCTCGAATTCCTCATCGATCGAGTCGTTCACCATAGGATCCTCATCATCACTACTTCCCCCTGTTTTGCCCTTTCTCCAACAAATGCACCAAACCAAAACCAACCCACCAACCAAAAGCACACACCCACCAACAACCAACCCAACAACAAGTCCGACGTTGACCCCATTTCCCGGATCGGGCTCAACAATGGGGTTCGGCTCTGGCACAGGAACCACTGGCGGCGGCTCATCGCGCAGTTCTGTAGAATTAAAACTCCATGTGTTGATTATAGGTATAGACGTGACAGCCCCTGTAGCGGCAGAGAACCCAACAACAACATAACCCTGCAAGTACTCATTCAGGTCAACCATGTAATCAAGATACTCCCTTACTTGGACACCATTTACAAAACTAGTGTAAACAACACTAAGATTTTTTGATCCAGAATCGTAGCGAATCCGAGCAGTATTTTCCTCTCCGTTTGTAATGGATCCATTCCAAGGCTTTGTCACTTTAGACTTGACAGAGTTGATGTCAATACCTACATGATCGCCGTCAGGATCTTTGATGGAAGTGACGTCATTCCTGTAGATATCAAACTCCACTGCCACAAAGGGGTACAGATTCGTCGACTCGTTATTTGGAGGGTTTATGACGGGGAGGCCTAGAGAGCCGCCTAGGCCTATTGTGGGGTTGAGTAAGGACCCGTTTGGCGCCAAAAAGAAGGCGAGTCCGTCGGCGTAGGGCGTTTTGCCTTCGGAGTCGATGGAAAATGTGAAGTTTGTGGTGAAATCAGCGAGTTTTCCGGTGGCGTTCTCGCGGAGGAGGAAGGGTTGAGAGTAGGTGGCTCGGCCTACGCTTTGGTCCAGTCCGTTGCCGGCAGTGCTTTTGGTCAGTCGGAGGGACTTGTCGGCGACGAAAGCATAGTCCTCGATAAATAAAGTAGTGGGGCCGTTTGAGAAGAAGGGGTAGTTGAAGGACAACGGAGTTGCACAAGGGAGTAGCTGAAACAAGAGAAGTTTGAGAAGAAGAAGGACAACCACCATGTTTGTAATGCTTTTACAGATTAAACTGGGATCATCTTAAAATACAGCACAAGTTGTATGGTTTAATTTTTTTTTTTCAGCAGCCCCCTTTGTTTACCAATTCAAATCAAAATACTTTGACTTGCTCCAATTTAGCGGTAGTGCAAGTTTTCTTTTGCTGAAATGTCATTGGCCATTTTCAAATATTTCTAGTGCCATTATGCATACTGAATTGAAAATGGCCAATGACATTTCAACAAAAGAAAATAATGGCACTAGAAACATTTGAATTGAAAATGGCCAATGACATTTCAATTCAAATGTTTCTAGTGCCATTATTTTCTTTTGCTGAAATGTCATTGGCCATTTTCAAATGTTTCTAGTGCCATTATACATACTTAATATTTTTTTTTGAAACAATATACATAATTAATATTAAATACAATATATGTTAGAAGAAAAACTTGCGTGGGGCTTTGTTTGCCACTAAACTTTGCTTAGTAGCACTACGATCTAGTCAAAACTCGTCACTTGTCAAGTCTTAAATATCATCTTTTATTATTCTTTTATATTTAAGACTCACATTGTTAAAAAAAAACTTTCATAATTATTTTTCTACTAATTAATGTACACCATAAAATGATTCATTTTTCCTTTGATATCCTCCGTCTCCCCTTTCTTCCCAAATTTTCCAACCCCTCTTCCTCCCAAACTCTGTGCCTTTCCTTCCTTCATAAGAGTATGGGAACAAAATTACAACATCTTCTCCATCTTTCGTGAAATGAAAAATATATGTCATATATATATTCTAACACAGACTTCATGTTTTACACAATTTGTTTGTCCCTTTTTTCAATTTTTTTTCCTCTTCTCCTCCCTCTCATTTTTTCTTCTCCAATTTTCTCTGCCGTATGCAGTCTTCCTCCTCCTCTGTGTTTCCTATCTTCATAAGAATATGGGGCAAAAACAATTAATTCATCTTCTCCAACTATCATGAAATGAAAAAAAAAAAAGAAAAATCCAAACACATACTTCATTTTTTTTTTTACAAAAGCTGTTTATTCATTTTTTCCGCTATGAGCAAAATTTCATTGCCCAACATGTCATGCCGAGCTCGTCCTGTTCTATGTATCACCGAGTTGTGATTTGTGTTTCTCCAGTAAGGATTAGAAATATTTTGTTGCCAACTCTAAATACAAACTTACAGACTGACTCCAAATTATCAAGTTGATCTTTTTCACAGTCTATTTGTTATTCTTCACTTTCACAAGGTGCAATCTATTTGCATTTGATAACTTGATTATCCATCTTTAACATGATGACAAAGGTGAGAGAGAGAAGAAACTGAAGACTCCTATGGAAAAACATTAACGTACAGGAGGGAAAAGTTGGGAAGGAAAAAAAAGGGGAGAAAGAAGGAAAAAAAAAACATTAAATTAATCTTATGGTGGATATTAATTAGTAGGAAAAAAATTATAAATATTAAATAATGATAAAAGATAATATTTAAGACTTGCCACATGACAAGTTTTGATTGGATTGTAGTGCCACTCAACAAAATTGTTAGAGTGGTGCTATCCAAACACCTCTTTTATTTTTCACACATTATTTTTAATTTTTTTACAGTCTGATCGAACGAATTGGAAAAGATCAACGGACAAAATTAATATACTAGTGTAAGCTGCTCCCTCGAGAAATATACCAGTGTTGCCAATGGTGAAGCTGTCGTAATTGAAGGTCAGAAGGAAGAGGAGGAGGAGGGGTAGAAGCTTTGCGGAAGGGATAACCGTGGTATCGAACTTTACGTAGAGACATTTTGCACATTACTTGTCAACTAATAAGTAGAGCGATCATCTTTTCTTGTAAACCAAGAAACGAGTGTTTTTACAGCACACAGTCATTGTTTTCACCGAACTCGAGTCGAAAATATCCTTTGGACTAGCTGTTCTGTTCATTCCAAAACTACAAAAATAATGAACTTTGTTGTATTTTATTTTGCATTGTTTACACTTGACAAGTAGACTTTTTTGGATTCACTGTCTTGTTGAAACTACAATAGTATCTAAATTCAAGAGTGTATAATATATTTATCTACGTGTGTTTTGGTTTGTTTGATGTGAAAACTGAAGGAACGAATGGACGGCAGCTGATTTTTTGTTTATGTTTTGTTGTCCGAATGCATTGACATTGAGAAGACATGGATGTCGTCGTTTGAACTTTGTGGTCATATTTCAGTATTGGGTTTTTCTTTTGACGCTCTTTCTCTGTGCATTTTGGCATGTACATTTCTGAATGCCCTGGTAGAAAGAACCTCTCCTTCACTTACTGCTTTCTGAGTTCAAACCCTCTTCCAATCTCTTGTTATAAATTTATGAGTATAACATATAATTACGACATGATGGTAAGTTCACTATAAAATATGTATGACATGCAAATTTATATATTTGTATAACAGAGTGAGTTTAAATTTATCTAGTCTACAAAAGTGAGGCTGATGGAGAAGAATTGGATGCAGAAGATGAGGTGAATTGTGAGGAGTTGGTGTTGTAACCATGACCCGAAGACTCTGTCTGACGTCTTTCCAAATCAGCATTGTAACTCGACAAGATTGAAAATGATACCGGAAGAGATACGTAGCTGGCCACCGGCATCTTTGATGGGAGAATGGGCAACGGAGCTTCGAAGTTAAGTACTTGAATTGTTTGTTGTATCGAAGGCCTCATCATGTAATCCGGATGCGCACACCACAGCCCAACAATCAACAAACACTCCATCTGTTTCACATCAAACTCTCCACACAATTTAGGGTCGGCTGCTTCAATGATTTTCCCTTCTCCATAAAGCTCCCAAACCCACTCCACCATGTTAATTTGAGTCCTTCCAAACTTTGGATCAATGGGTTTTCTCCCGCAAGCTATCTCCAAAGCTACAACTCCGAAGCTGTAGACATCTGTTTCCTTGCTTGCCTTTCCTGTGGTAACGCATTCCGGAGCCATGTATCCCATGGTTCCAGCCAGAACCGTGGTTTGCGATTGTTTTCCATGATCCACAAGTCGAGCTAATCCGAAATCCCCAAGTTTGGCGTTGAAATTCGAATCCAGCATGATATTGCTCGATTTAATATCCCTGTGCAGCACACATTGCTCCCATTCTTCGTGTAGATAGAACAACCCGGATGCTAAGCCTTGAGCAATTCTGTATCTTGCCTCCCAATGTAACACCGTTTTCGGTTTGAACAAATGGAAATCTAAGCTTCCGTTGGACATGAACTCGTAAACAAGCAGGAGCTCTCCTTTTTCATGGCACCAACCGATTAGTTGCACCAGATTCCGATGCCTAAGTCGACTGATGATCCTTACTTCTGCCGCGTACTCCTTCATCCCCTGTCTAGACCGACTTGACACCCTCTTAACAGCAACATACGAGTCCAAGTCCTTTATGAACCCCCTATAAACCCCACCAAATCCTCCTTCTCCAAGCTTTTCTCCCTCATCGAAATTACCCGTGGATTGAGCCAATGTCTTGTACGAAAACTTCTTCGGGCCCGTCCCCTTCTCGAATTCCTCATCGATCGAGTCGTTCACCATAGGATCCTCATCATCACTACTTCCCCCTGTTTTGCCCTTCCTCCAACAAATGCACCAAACCAAAACCAACCCACCAACCAAAAGCACACACCCACCAAGAACCAACGCAACAACAAGTCCGACGCTGACACCATTTCCCGGATCGGGCTCAACATTGGGGTTCGGCTCTGGCACAGGAACCACTGGCGGCGGCTCATCGTGCAGTTCTGTAGAATTAAAACTCCATGTGTTGATTTCAGGTACAGACGTGAGACGCCCTGTAGCGGCAGAGAACCCAACAACAACATAACCCTGCAAGTACTCATTCAGGTCAACAATGTAACTAACACTCCTCCACACTGGGGAAGCATTCTCAAAACTAGTGTAAACAACACTAAGATTTTTCGATCCAGAATCGTAGCGAATCCGAGCAGTATTTTCCCTTCCGGTTGTAATGGATCCATTCCAATGCTCTGTCACTTTAGACATGAGAGAGTTGATGTCGATACCAACATGATCGCCGACAGGATCTTTGATGGAAGTGACGTTATTCGTGTAGATATCAAACTCCACTGCCACAAAGGGGTACAGATTCGTCGACTCCTTATTTGGAGGGTTTATGACGGGGAGGCCTAGAGAGCCGCCTCGGCCTATTGTGGTGTTGAGTAAGGACCCGTTGGCGCCAAAAAGAAGGCGAGTCCGTCGGCGTAGGGCGTTTTGCCTTGGGAGTTGATGGAAAATGTGAAGTTTGTGGCGAAATCAGCGAGTTTTCCGGTGGCGTTCTCGCGGAGGAGGAAGGGTTGAGAGTAGGTGGCTCGGCCGACGCTTTGGTTCTGTTGGGTGCCGACAGTGCTTGCGGTCAGTCGGAGGGACTTGCCGTCGACGAAAGCATGTGGCTCGATAAATAAATTTTGGTGGTCGTTTGTGAAGGAGGGGAAGTTGAAGGATAATGGAGATGCACAAGGGAGTAGCTGAAACAAGAGAAGTTTGAGAAGAAGAAGGACAACCACCATGTTTGTAATGCTTTTACAGATTAAACTGGGATCATCTTAAAATACAGCACAAGTTGTATGGTTTAATTTTTTTTTTCAGCAGCTCCCTTTCTTTACCAATTCAAATCAAAATACTTTGACTTGCTCCAATTTAGCGGTAGCGCAAGTTTTCTTTTGGTGAAATGTCATTGACCATTTTCAAATGTTTCTAGTGCCATTATGCATACTTAATATTTTTTTTTTTTGAGGTAATATAGATAATTAATATTAAATACAATATACGTTAGGAGAAAAACTTGCGTGGAGCTTTGTTTGCCACTAAACTTTGCTAAGTGGCACTACGATCCAGTAAAAACTCGTCACTTGACAAGTCTTAAATATCATCTTTTATCATTCTTTTATATTTAAGACTCACACAATTATTTGTTAAAAAAAAACTTTCATAATTATTTTTCCACTAATTAATGTACACCATAAAATGATTCATTTTTCCTTTGATCTCCTCTGTCTCCCCTTCCTTACCAAATTTTCCAACCCCTCTTCCTCCCAAACCCTGTGCCTTTCCTTCCTTCATAAGAGTATGGGAACAAAATTACAACATCTTCTCCATCTTTCGTGAAATGAAAAATATATG